TGTTATTAATGCATACCCAAACTAATTATTTTTTTCCCAAATTTATCCCTATTACAAAAAGAAAAAGATAAGACTAAACATCAATTGTTATAAACATAAGGAATATGGATGGCCACCGTAACATCCATAACACCCACCATATGAATAACTTGTAACCTATGCACTAATTTCTATAGTTATGGCTTGTAATTTATGAGTTTTAAATGTATTATATCATTCTAATTAAGCCTATAAATAAGAGGTCTTACCAATATGAAATGAACAAGTTGAGAGAGCAAATTCTATTACCTTTCTTTTCTCTTTTCTCTCACAATTTCCCTCTAGTTTGATAACACGTTATCATCACGACATTTGCTTTTTGGTATGTTTTCTTTCTCTGATTTTTATTTCTTCTTATATGAGCTAGAGTCATCACATGGTATAGAGTTTCTTTGTACTCACCATCAGACTTCATCATGCTCGTTTAAGAAAAAAAAAGTTTTTTATTCTTATTACACTTGAATATGTTGCCATGTTTTATTTATTTGTCTGGTTATTTAATTTTAAGCATAATTTTAATTGATTACAGTTCGTTATGATGAGTTTGTATTATACAAAAGATTAGGGCCCAAAGTTCCTCGATCCTCATCATATAACTAGATTAGGACATGGGGTCCTTTTGTTGAATCAAAACCTAAATTTCTTTGATTCCAAATAATTGAGGGCATGAAGTTCCTCGAATTTAAAAAGCACATAAGGACATGAAAACTCCTTGATTTTGTATTAATCAAAATCAGAATTCCATGAGGCCTACATATGTCAAGAACCTGAACTAGAAGTTTCGAGCACATTTATTTGAATATGAAGTTCAAAGCACAACTATTAATTCAATTTAGGGCTAACGTCAAAACACCCATTTGGGGTTTGGGGTCATTCTCAATTTGGACCATGGGGTTTCAATTTCATCAATTTACACCCCAATATTTTAAGATTTGATCAATTTACACATTCCATTACTTTGACCGTCTAGTCTTCTGTTAAATGAATGACGTGGTAGATGAAAGACCCACTTTTGTGCTGATGTGTCAATAAAAATAATAAAAAAATAATTAAAACATCAATATTATTTTTTAAAACTTTTAAAACATAACTAAAAAAAAACTCTCACTCCCAGCCACATTCTTCGACCCACAACCCTTCTCCGATCCACTCTCTTCTTCCTCCATCTCCCCATCTCTTTGGCAACAACCCAACATTCATGAGGCTCTTGATTGTTAACCCCAGAATAGCGATTCGACTGTTCATCATTTCGCTATACGAATTGAACCCGAAATCCAACTTCAACCCACACGACACCATCTCCTTAAGCGGCACTGATGGAAGATGCAAATTGGACCCGGATGAGGACCTGGACCCGCTTTTCGACTTCCTGGTCTTTTAGAGCTCCGCTTTCTTGTCGGTTCCATTACTGTAGCGGAGTCGGACCTGGCTGAGATGAGTGCTCCGATGGGGGTGTTTTCAAGTCGGTTGCTCAAATGGTGAAGGAAAAGAGGGGTTGGGTGCGTGTTCTTTGGTTGATGAGGATGCAAGAGGGGATGGGTTACTGTTGATGAAGTGGGGTTTTTGTGTATGTTGTGATGGGATTGGATGCTACAACAAGAATGGATCACATCCTATTTGTCTTCCTGGGTTGGAATTGGTTGACTTATGTAGTCATTTGTATGGATAGAAGAAGTAAAGGCTTCAACTAACCTCAGTTATTGGCTATGGAAATTTCATTTGCAGAACATATTTGATATGTCGCTAGAGGCTAGATTAGTTTTGTAGGTGTGTGATTAGATCAGTTCTATAGTGGTTGCAAAGGTTTCCTTTTTTCTTTCTTGTGGGAAATTTTGAGTGAATTACTTGGGTATGTATGTTTGTTGCTTGTATTCCATTTTGTGGTTTGGGGTATATTGACTTAATGAGCTATCATTTTTAGCCTAAATCGTATTTTGCACTAAAACTGATTTTTCATATTTTGATTGGGTGGGAATTTGATTTTCTAGTATTTTTATTTGAATCCAAATAGGGGTACTTCCTTATTTACATTGTAAATTTAAGTAAATTGAGTAATATAAAAATAAATGAAAGTAAAAGGACAAAGACATGTGAGTACATATCACAACGTAAAGTATTTGAAATAATATACATATAGAAACACATAACAGTATATTACTTTTAAAATATAAAACAATTGAGTGGGGGCCTGTGACCACACTGGTCCCAGTGTGGCTCCGCCCCTGCCACTACATTGATCCCTGCCATCCACATAACATCTTCCTCACGCCGATTTCCTTCGTTGGGTTATTTTTTTGGATTAATGTTTTAATTTCAATTTCTTAAAATGGATCTGTTTATAAAATAAAAAAATTAAAATTGTTTTTAAATGATTATTATTTTTATTAATTCAAATAACATTTATTGCTTTTTTAACAGTAATTTAACCCAAAAAAAAGGACAAAACTTGTTATAAAAAACATACGCAGGATTTTGAAAAAATAAATAAAGCAATATATAAGAGAAGGTTAGAGAGAAGATTGCTAGCATACCCCTTGATTTAAAGAAAAAAAAATAAAAAAAATAAAATCGGTACCCAGCTCTCGACGTGTCAAAACAAACTTCATGTCATGTTATTCTTTGGATTAATGTCATTTTAGTCCCTAGAGGTTTAGGGTTAGTATCAAAATAGGCCCTAATGTTTCAATTTCATCAATTTTATACCTGACATTTCAAAATATGACCAATTTACACTGGTCATTACGTTGACCGTCAAGTTAGACGTTAAATGTTGATGTGGCAATCGTGGGACCCACCATAAAACCTATTTCTCTCTCTCCCCCCTTTGACACAGTCATTGCAAACATTGATTGTTCGTCTTCCCGGCTACACAGCGCTGCCTTCCAGCCACCTCCTATATCAACACAATCAGACTAACTAGGGGAGCAAGTTTTGTTCTCGGACCTCAACCAAAAACTGACCGAAATTGGGTAAATCATAGCCAAAACAGTCGGCCATTTTGGGAGTTTTAATTCGAACTCTCAAATCATGAAATCGATCCAAACTACATATACCAACAACAAGAACACGTGGAGGGGATGAAAAACCATACCTTAATCGATGTCAACGGTTGCCGGAAGGCTAAACCCTCAATCTCCCTTCACGAGCTCACTTCGGCGTCGTGAGGAATTGGGGAGGTTCGGCCTTGGCCCAGACATGGTGGCCGGAAGTAGCTGGTCATTTTCCAACTGGTCCCATAGTTGGAGGTGGCCGGATGACAGCGTTGTGTCGCCGAGAAGACGAATAGTCACTATTTGCACAGTGACTCTATCGAAGGGGAAGAGAGAGAAATAGGTTTTGTGGTGAGTCCCACGACTGTCACGTCAGCATTTAATGTCTGACCTAACGGGCAATGTAACGACCGGTGTAAATTGGTTATATTTTGAAATATCAAGTATGAAATTGATGAAATTGAAACATCATGGCCCATTTCGATATTGACCCTAAAATCTAGGGACTAAAATGACGTTACTCCTTATTTTTTTGTTACGGCAGCGGCAGTGCAAAGAGAAAATAACTAAATAAATGAAATAATTTTAAATTTATATTATTTCTGGCGACGTGCATCAATCTCTGTAAAGCAATGGCCGACGCCGCCGCTCAAGAAGAAGAAGTGGCAGCAGAAGTGGAGGCCGTACAAGCAGTGTACGGCGACGATTGTGTGGTTCTCGAATCGTACCCTCCTCATCTCCACCTCTACATCAAACCTCGCACCGCCGATGTCGCTTCACAGCAGGTCCTTTCCTTTTCCAACTTAATTCATCTGCTACAAGCTTCTTTATTTTTTTAAATATTGTTTTTGAAATTCTGAATTGAATTTTGCTTGTTTGCTGATAAATTCTGGGAAAAATAAATGAAAATAGTTAAAGAAGACGTTCAATTTCTGTGGTTTTCCCAATTTGTTAGTGTAAAGGCTTCAGCTGTTGGAGCTAAGGGTCTTATTTAATTACAATATTGCATTTTTGTTTCTTTCTTAGCTTTTGTCCTCAAATGGTGACAATCTCTTATTGTTTGTATACACTATACGCAATTTTTTTTTTTGGTAGTTTGTGGAAGCTGTTATTGGAGTTCGAGCAGGTTCTCAGGTATAGATTAATGAAAGTAAAGTTCTGTATGTTTGGTTTTTTATTTTATCTGTTTGCGAGCTGAAGTTTGCTTCTTTTCTTTTTGATTTTTTGTTGTAGTATCCGAATGAACCACCACATATTGAACTTTTAGATTCAAAGGGTCTTGATTTTCAGAGGCAAAAACATCTAACGAATTTGATACAGGACAGAGCATGTGACCTCTCGTCTTGTTTAATGCTTGTGGAGATTTGTGAGGTAATTGTTGCTCTAGCCAGTTAGCAAAAATTGTTCGACGTATTAACATTGCTCTCCTTTGTGACAGGGTACAAGTTTAGATTAACACCTATGTACATTATTTTAGTTCTGCATATTCATGAATGTTTAACTATCAGGACTGTGATAGATCATATGCATGATCCCTTCCTAACGAAGAGATTATATGTACCCTAATGGACACACCCAGACTGGCTTGTCGGGAGACTGATTCATTGACATACGTGTCCAGGAAGCAGTGGAGAAGCTTTCTGTTATGAATCACCCTGATGGAGATTGTCCATTGTGTTTGTATCCTTTGGTCCCAGAAGATGAGCAGAGTAAAGGTTTGCCATTTATGAAGTTGATGTCTTGTTTCCATTGCTTTCACAGGTACGCAACCACTTCAGATATATTTTTTCAGTATCTGATTTTAGGTAACGGTTTGGGTTTTAATGTTCTCCCTTTTGTTTAAAAATATGGCAGTGAGTGCATTATTAGGTGGTGGAATTGGATTCAAACAGAAGAAAGAAGCAATGCCAGTGATTCATCAAGTGCACATGTGCCTCCTATTAGAGAATTGCGAAATCATAAAGGTATACTTGGGTCACAGTTATTTGGTAGTGCGTTGAATTTATGACTAGAAGCTTGATGAGACACTTTAGCAATAATAAATTATTTACTTCAACTTTATTAGGGATTCTTTTAAGAATGGTTGGTTTTACAAAAAGAGTAGCTTACAAAAAATTAACAAAAACAAAAGCACTAAGATAAGATTTAAAACAAATTAAAAGCTTACAAATATATAAGCATCAAGATGATAGAATGAATTTAATGAGTTCATAGCTTAGTATAATTGATTGGAAAAGCACTTAGATCTAACATCTCAATCATTCATGTCTGATCTAACAACTGATATATAAGTTCTTAACTTAGATCCTCATAAGAAGCTATTACTTATGATATCCTTCCATCGACTCTTTTATAAAATTTCTGTTTCTTTGCTAGAAACAGAGAGTGTAACACCCCACTCCCTTTAAAGAAGAGCGGGGTGGTGTATATGCATTCTCATGTTGATGTTTCAAAGTAGCATTCTTTGAAAAAAAAAAAAATTGAAAGTAGCATGATTCATAAACATTTGTTGGGAATTCGGATAGGGTGGCTGGAAACAGGCTTGTGGGGGGCTTTTCTTATAACAGTTATGTGCATAATGGGCGAGAGTTTTGGAACTTAAGAATAAGCTGAAGCATGTTCGTGACAAAATTTTCTCGGAATCTCAGAATGTCCTTGTGTGTGAGTGTCAGATTTTTGGATTCGTTGATTGCTAATTAGTGTGTAGACTGAAGGTTGTGATCAGGGAAATTTTTTATTTATTTGCAAATTGGATATTTGGGAACCATTGGAGCCAATTTATGCATTCCTCTACTGTTAGACTTTCTTCCTTTGTGAATGGCTCCCCTTCCTGGTTTGTTTGGTTGCTTAAGGGGTCTCTGGCAAGGGGTTCATCCTCTGTCTTTGTTTATATTATTATGATGGTGCTTAGCAGATTGATCTGTAAGGGTTTGGTGTGGTATCTAATGGTGCAAGGTCTTTTCAGATTCACATCTGTTATTTGTAGAGTATCTAATTAATTTTGGTGGTGCTGATTGGGGCAAATGAGTTATTTGTGGTGTCTTATTTTATGATTTGAAGCGATGTCGGGTCTAAGGGTCAATATGGATAAGAGTAAATTTTTTTCCAGACTCCAGTACGCTCTCTCTCTCTCTGTTGTGGAACATATTACTGATTGCTGCTGATTGGGATTGCAGAATTAGTTCTCTGCCTTTGACATATTTGGGTTTGGTTTTGGGGTCTTATTTTGTTCGGAAGTCTTTGAGGAATTCAATTATTTTGGAAAGGGTAGAGAAGCATCTGGCAGGAAAAAAAGCATCACTACGCATCTAAGGGGAACCTTAGTGTTTCATCTAGCTTATCTATGTACAATGTCTCTGTTCTGGTTCCTGTTTCTTATACATGCTAATCATTGGAAAATTTTCCTAGAGGCTTCCTTCAGGCTGCGTTACGCAATGAATACACCATTTGGTTGATCGGGATTAGGTGTGTTCCCTTCTTCAATGGGTGGTTTAACATTAGAAAGTCAAAACTAATTCAACTAGAATTTCTTGAGCAAATACTCATGACATTATTTTGTGTAGAGGAATCGGTAATGGAAGTGTGTGGTGGCTTGTAAATGTGGAGATTTTTTGGCACAAGGGAAGTGACGACGACTCATGGCGTAGGTTTGAGGAGAAGTGTCTGGAAGGATTTGGGGATTTTGTCACAGAATGTTTGGCTAGTGTACAAGGGAAGTGTTGTTGACTCAGGGTTGCAGCTTGTTTGAACAGGATGTTTTGTATGGCTCTGTGGCTTTGGGTACTCAGGCTGGAAAGATACATTTCTTTTACGATTTACCATAGCAGTGGATGAAATTGCTTTGGTAGGGGACCCTTCAGTTAATTTGGGGGTGTGGTTCAGTTGAATCTTGCTTTTTCTAGAAAGTGTAATGATTGGGAGATTGAAATTGTTGAAAGTTTCTAGAAAGCCTTACATTATTTTAGAGTTGGCAGTGAGTGTGGGAGCTCTGGAATGTAGTTGATGCAAGCATTTGAGGTGCGCTCTTTCTGTTGGGCTTTGTTGGATAAAATTCATTCTTATTTTGCATGGAAGCAGTTCTAGTATGCAGATCCTCTGACAGTGGTGTTTTCTCATGGACAACTTGTTCAAGGAGGATCTTAACATTGACAACCTGAACAAAAGCAGATTCAGATTGGTGTGGCCAGCAGGGCGGAAGCTGTTAGTCATTTCCTCCGTTATACATTGACATGGAAATTTTGGGTTCCATCTTCTAATTATCTGGGATTAGAATTGATCCTTGCAGCTTATATTTCAAATTTGTATGGGCAGTGTTATGGGAGATTTGTCAGGCAGGAGAATCAAGTATTATATAATACAGTTACCCTGTAGTTGTGATTCTTGGTGCCTTTGGTTGGAGTTTAATACTCCTGCATTTGGGGGTGTGCTGCATTATTTTATGTAGATTAAGGCTAACTGCCTAAGTTCATCATATCTTTTATGAGAAGACAAATACTTCTTTTTATCCTATGTTAGATTTTCTCTCTTTTTTCTATTACTTGTTTTATTTATTCTATAATTTGCCACGTATTTGTGGTTCATGAGCCTTGATGCTCTTCTAATATGCTTTTTTTATATTTATAATAAAGGAAAATGTAAGTGTTAGCTGGGATAGAACCATTTGCATTGTGTCCTTTGTAAGGGCCGAGCTAAACATACTATGTTACTACAATTGCCATGTCATGTGTAACATTATATATTTTCTGAAAGACATTTGTAGGTCTAGCTCCCTTCTTTCATATTAATTTATAATGAATGATGGTTTTTTGTCAGATACACGTGGAGCTGTGGAAGGGAGTATGGGAAACTGTCCAGTTTGCCGTAAAGTTTTTCATGCTGAGGATTTTGAACACGTGCTCGACTTGGTTGGCAATCATTCCTCACATTTGGTACGTCATCTAACCATAAATTATAAGTTTTACAATTGAAAACTGTTTCTTAGATTTTTAAAATCCATGTTCTTATATTTGAATTAAGTATTCAATTGCGATAGGGCTCATTCTGGTTGTGTCAATCCATTTTTGCCCCATACCAAAGCTATACTCAATTACTTTGAAATGCGTGGAGAACCAAAACTAAATTTGTTTTTAGATGGCCATTTGAAACTTTTGAAGATGGTAGTAAAATCTGTCCTGATAATAGAAGACCTAGTTGATGCATATCTAGAAACAAATCCGTATATTCTGAAGTTCTAGCGTCAACGTCGTTGAAGTTTTTACCTTTGTTAATTCGATCATTTGGATTCTGTAAACTCTTGTTTCTTTTAATAAGCAGTAGGATCTTACTTTCTAATATTCATTCATTCAATATTTGACACAGGAGTTGTGTTTTGTTTATAATTTAACTGAAGTTGAATGACTATTCGACTGTTTTCAGAGTCTGAACGATAATGAAGACGATTACGGTGAGAAACTCCTGCAGTCTGAGTCAGAGAATGCACGGCGACAAAACTTTGAGGCCCTATTGAAGTTACAGCAAGAAAACAGTGGTTTAATTGAACCTAAAAAAAATATTGTCGTCTTGCCTGGTATGTTACTTCCACCACCAGTCGCATCATCCACGTCTGAGACAGCCAAAGAATCTGCCGAAGAACAACAAAGAGATCCCCCAGTCACCTCAGAAATGCATTCTGGTGGTTCCTCAGGTGGGCCTAATACCCATGAGCAGAGGAGTTCCAGCTCAAGGAAGCAGAGAGTACGTAATACAAGAAGACCCGTCAAACAGTGGATAAAGAAAGAGAGTGCAGGGCAGAGTGAGTAATTGATCTGATTCTTGAGGAAAGTGAGTGACTGATATTGTTCTTGTGGGAGCTTTTTCTTTCCCCGAAGTATTCATGTCAGCCAAAGAAGCTGTATAAACAATGTGTAAAAAGGAAAAAAAAAAAAAAGGAACAAAGAAAGAAAAATAGAGAGATTCTCTCAGCAAGTTAATCATTATCTCTCTGTAAGTTAATGTTGTGTATTTGTGTAAGTTAATCATGCGATTTTGAGTTTGACATATCAAGGTATAAAATCCAAATTTTGGATCATTTCTGTTTCAGTATGAATTACAATGATCCAAGTTTATTGATGATAACTGTGCCAAAATAAATACTCTAAACCTCCCATAATCCTCTTACATTGTGGTTCCCTCTCTCTCAACCCTCACAAAGATAAAACTCATGGAGCTAATTACCGAGCCAAAACTAGTCACCTTCTCAAGGCCCAAGTTTTCGTAGGGATTAACTTGTTGGAACTCACACCCTAAGTTGGATCAACATGCATAGTCATTCTGTGTACATGCAATGCACCCGTGCATTGTAATTTTTAGCCGTTTGATTAAGTGTCCGTTTGGCATTGCTTATTTGGGGTGATAAGTGATTTTTTTAAAAAAATTGAGAAGTCCAGCCCTTTTGGTAAACTATGAGAAAATCACTTATTGTTAAAAATTGCTGTGAGAGAAAGCTATAAGTGAAAGCAGCTAATGAGCTGCTTTCATTTTCTGATTATGTAGGAATCAGTTTCGAAGATGCATTGGGTTTAATGATTATGCGGCAATCATTTTCTGATTATGCAGGAATTAGTACTAACAAAACTTTTAACAAAAAGTTTACCAAACATCAAACTGCTTTCTCTCACAGCTAATTTATCTCACAGAAAATCTGACAATGATAATTTTCACAGCACAACAATGTCAAACTAACCCTAAAAAATTTAGAATGGATAGATCGGACTGTTCATAAAACAATGCACTAGTATTACACCTATAGCAATTGCAAATTATAAGACAAAAAATCTCCACACCTAGGGCTGGTCACCTCGGCTTATATGTCATATTCTAGTACTTTGACATAGCACGGGCCCAGCCCTGTATAGGTATGGCTGGTCACCTCGGCTTATATGTTATATTCTAGTACTTTGACATAGCACGGGCCCAGCCCTTTATAGGTAGGGCTGGTGACCGACCCAAATGTTAGAATGTCCTTTTCTTAAGGTCAGACTATAATGAGTGGAAAGTTATAAGTGTAAGTTATAAGGGGTTCACTTTATAGCCATCAGATCAATCCAAGGGCTGAACTCGTTATGCTACAATCGGGTTGCAATTACCCGTTTTGAAAACAACTTCGTCAAGTGAGAGGAACGTTTCTCCCAGAGCGTGAAATCTCAAACAAATCCTTCTTACACTCTCCCTATCTAAATCTGTCCTTCCTGCCCACTTTTCCCTATGTTCTCTTTATTCCCAAGCTCTTCTCATTCACCACTCCTAGTCCCATCCGTTCCTCTTCTTCTTTTACTTCTTCTTCATCTTCTTCTTCCTCTGCTTATTCTTCGGGTGGTTTTGTAATTTAATATATAGATAATTTATGAGTTTATTTCTAAATTTTAAATTCTAATTTAGTGATTTATAAATTTAGAGTTTCTTAAGTGGTTCATAATTTCTCCAATTTAGGGATTAAGTTCAATCCACTGTGCAATCCAGTTCTCTACCCATCCATCGTCATAATCCAGCTCTCCTCAAATTTGGAACCCTAGTTTGACCCTAGCCAAGCCGCCGCAACTCACAACCTCCGTTGTCGACCTCCACAGCGAAGCCACTGTCGCGACTCCAAAGTCAAGCCACAGTCGCGACCTCGTCGTCGTTCTCCAATTCGTTCACCCCAGTAAGATTTCAATCGTTTTCTACGTCGTCGTTCTCCAATTTGTTCACCCCAGTAAGATTTCAATCGTTTTCTAGAGTTTTTTTGTTTTGTGCATGCTGTTGTTGCTATTCAATCCAGGTATTTTCAGTTGAAATGTTTTTGTTTTTCTGGTTCTGATTAATCTGTTTTTGGATTTGTTTTTTAAATTATTTAAATTATTTTTTTTTGTTAAATCGATCCTTGGGGAGGCTATGTGCTGGTATGTTTGGTTTGGTGGTTGATTAAATAATTGGTCCGGTGATGATTTTGTACTTGTTGGGCATTAATTTTTGCCAGGTATTTAGTTGATTGGTTGCAATTTGATTACATTTTTTTTCTTGATGATTATTGTACTGAAATTTGCTCGGATATTAAGTTTTTGTTGATTCTTATGCAATTTGATTGATGCAATTCTATAGTTGTATTGTAGTGGATGGAGTTTAGGCATTTGGTAGAACATTTGCTTCAGAAATTGTACTTTGCTATTGTTAATTTAGTCAATTATGGTTTTGTTTTACTTTAGTGAATTTAGTCAACCAGTATGCAACTGGCGTGATTGTAAGCATTAGTGGAAATAACCTTAATTAGCAGCTTTATGTGTGTCACTTGATTTATCCAATTAGTATATGACATAATGTAGTTGGGTGTGTCTCAACTGCAGTGATATCTTTTTGCTTAATGTTAATTTTTCCCTTACTGTTTCTGCCCCAACTTCTTTTATATCCCAACCCATTGGATCCATTGAATGGAGAGGCAGCTGCTATGCATGATCGTTCTGCTTATTAACAAAGAGTAAAAGGTAGTAATTATTTGCAGCTTTTGTGAATTGAGTATATATTGGTTGCCTCTTGTATGGTTTGCACTGACATGCTTGAGACTTACTTTTAGTTCCTTCCTTTTTTCGTTGTTCACATATACAACCTTCGTTGCAGGAGGTAGCGGAGGATTTCAAAATCATAACTGGACTGTTTTTAAGAAAGTTTTGAAGGTCATGAATCTGTGATGTTGAAACATATAAGCTTTACTGTAGGTTTATCAGAACACTTAAAACTGGTTTTAAAGTGTTATGAAATTTTACTCTGCAATAGTCATATTAAGTGGAAAATATTTGAGATTTTAAAGTTTACTTAAGAGTTCAAATCAATGGCTGTGTTGCAAGACTTGTGGCACCTTTTAATCCAAGTTTGGTTTTTGACTCCAGATGTCAAATGAGATCAGCAGTATTCTCTTCGAAGGTTTGAATTCCTTAGAAAACTAGTAATGTGTAAATAAATAATGAATCCTTAGAAAACTAGTCGTGTGCAAATAAGTAGTGAATCTTACCTGTATCAGGTGTATGCTTTTGAAACTTCTATACCCCACACATATTTAAGACTTTTGATAACATAAAACAATAATGTGGAAGATAGCTTCTTCTTTGAACCTTGAGGATCAGATATTGCTACCCATTCTGCAATTGCTGGAAGGATTTAGGATACATTAGTTACTGCATCTAATGGAAAAATGGATGGAGTTGTGAGGGTGTTGGGAAATGTAATCCAATTTTATCTGTTCTGAGATATTTTGATCCCACTGAGGATCATAGTTGACTGTTGTTTTCTGCACAAGTTTTCTAGGGAATCTTCGGAGAAATTTGTTGTCTGAAGTC